CAAAAAGAAAAAAGCCGGAAGTGGCGCTGTGGCTCAAGTGGTAGAGTGCTAGCCTTGAGCTGAAGAGCTGAGGGACAGTGCTCAGGCCCAGAGTTCAGGCCCCACGACTGGACCCCCCCCCAAAAAAAGAAGAAATGTAGGGCTGGGAAGGTGGCTCAGTGGTAGAGTGCTTGCCTTGCATGCATGAGGCCCTGGGTTCAATTTCTCAGCACCACATAAGCAGAAAAGGCTGGAAGTGGTGCTGTGGCTCAAGTGGTAGAGCGCTAGCCTTGAGCTGAATAGCTAAGGGCCAGCAGCGCCAAGGCCCAGAGTTCAGGCCCCACAACTGACACTCCCTCCCACCCCCAGAAAAGGAAATGTACTCATTACCTGACTCATGTAAATTGTAATCCCTCTGTACATCACCTTTATAATTACAATAAAATAAAGACAAAAATTATCAATGTAAGCTAGGAGACACCAGCATAAATCTCTCAGGTACAGGAAAAGAAGCAAACCACTCCACCTATGGGCACAGAGTACTACTACTAGTTCTAGTTCCATCCCCCAACACCAAGGACACGTACAGTAGATGAAAATAGTCTAAAATGAACCAAACTAAGAGACTAGAAAGGGAAGAGCCAAAAATTAAGACAAATTAACTTCAGGAAAAACAACAGTACTACAGATCACAAAGGACATTTCAAAATGATAGAGGTTGATTAATCAAGAAGTCATAATAATCTTAAATACACATAAATGTAATTAAGAGTACTGAAACTCATGAAGTAAAACTGGCAGAACTGAAGACAAAGTCATATCCATATAATTACATGTAATTATACAACTCTCCTCCTTAGCAATTGATACAAGTTAGGCAGACAATCAGAAAGGATTCAAAAGACCTGTAAATCATGAACAATCAACTTGAAACAAATGCCAAAGTATACATTTTTCTCTAGTTCACATGAACATTGAACCAGAAAAAACCATAGTCTGAATCACAATACAAATCTCAATACACTTCATTAGAAAACAGGAAAAATATTCTCTTACCACATCAGAATCAAACTAGAAATAAATATTAAAAAGCTATCTCAACCAGTGGGTGAAGCAGAAGGGAAAAACTAGGAGAGCAAGGGGTGACACTATCCAGAAAGAAACGTGTTCTTTTTTTCTTTTTTTTTTTTTG